GACTCCTGGGACCATCTTAAAATTCTGTCTACCGCATATGCCAATTGTATGTTTAACTTTATAAGAAACCATCAAACTATTTTCCAAAGTGGCTGCACCATTTTACCTTCCCAACAGAGAAGTATATGAGTGTTTCAGTTGCTCAATATCCTGGCCATTTGATATTAACAATTGTTTAAAATGTATTTTTATTGATTTCAGAGAGGGTGAGGGTGAGATAGAAACATCAATGATGAGAGAGAATCATTGATCAGCTGCCTCCTTAATGCCCCCTACTGGGGATTGAGCCTGCAACCTGGGCATGTACCCTTGACCGAAATCGAACCCAGGACCCTTCCATCCGAAGGCCAACACTCTATCCACTCAGCTAAAGTGGCTAGGGCAATATTATCAGATTTTTAATTTTAGCTATTGGTGAGTGTAGTGGTATCTCATGGTGGTTTTAATTTGCATTTCCCTAATGACTATGATAATGAGATCTTTTCACATGCTTATTAAGCATAACATTTTGTTTTATGAAAGATTCAGCTGCTTTTTAAAAAAGGCTGAAACTCACTGGCTTAGATAAACCATCTGTGAATCTCTTAGTGGGGCCAGGGCCCATCTCCTTTCTGAAACACAAGTGTCTGGAAGGTAGGTAAATCATGAGTGTAAGCACTGTGCTCTGTGTGTGGGTGAGCGAAGAAACAGACATTTCTTCATTGCATACAGCGCTACAATCCCAAATCTGAAGTTATGAAATCCAGTTGTTCTGAATCAAATTGTTTTTCTTGGTTGGCATCAAACCCATTGGTCACAAAACCTGACATAAACATTTGTGGTTTTTGTTTTCTTGCAGAAGGACCCTCTATTGTCCCATGCCTGTGTCGGCTGCCTGGAGGCCTTGCTTGACTACCTGCATGCCAGGAGCCCAGACATGGGTAGAAACCCTCCCCATTCTCTGATGTTCCCCTGAGGGTGATGGGAGGAGGCCAGCCTCTGCCACTTCCTGCTCCAAACTGCCATCCCCTGTTCTGTGAATCACACTCATTTTGTGTAATTCTTTCAACAAAACTGCATGGGCACTGTTATGCCCAGTTTACAGATGAGGACACCGCGGTTCAGGAGGTCAGGCCACTTACCAGCCATGGTCACAAAGCTCTTAATGGCAGTGCTCTTCCTGTTGCCTCCCACAATAGTGGGGTGTATGGTCTCCCTGAGCCAGGCAGCAGAGGGGATAGAAGCCCAAGGAGGAAAGAAATGTCCTGGGGTTGGCTTGTGCAACGCCCTGCCTCTAGCTGAGTAGCCCTTTGTGAGCCCATAGGAGAGAGTCCTGCTTAGTAATGTTTGGGCCTTTGGGAAAGAAGCATTGACGACCTAGGATGACTAGTGTTTCCCACAGCACAACATGTGGCCTCCCAGCCCTGGAACCGGTTTTTACTGTTCACCCTCCTGGATGCTGGAGAGAATTCCTTCCTCAGACCCGAGATCTTGAGGCTCATGACTCTGGTAAGTGCAGTAAGGATGGTCTTGTGGTCTGAAGAATGTCGTGAGCTGAGTGGTCCCGAGGAGGTCAGGGACACCTTACTTAAGGTAACCCTAATCCTCAAAGAGGGTAGAGGGGGCTGGACAGGCCTTCATCCCACAAGAGGCCTGCTCAGAGAATTCCTACCAATGTCCACATCTCCTCACCCCAGAAGAGCCAGACAGTCTTTCTCAATTCACTCACTCAAAAAATTGATCAGAGCCTGCACGCCACATGCCAGGTTCTACAATAGGGGCCGATGAGCCAAATGCTCTGCCTTTAAGGATCCCTCAGTCTAGAGAAGGAGATGGACAAGTTCAAGTGTGATGTTATTGGTGGTAGAGTAGAAGATATGCTAAGTGTTTGATGCGCAGTCAGTGTCCATTGAATAAACAACAAAGCAGTGAGCCTGTGAATGACAGTGAAGCGGGTCAGTGAATATCAGCGGTAGGTCTGGGAAGAGAGTAAGTGACTAAAGAAGAGAGCAAGTACTCTCCAGAGCTGGGAATAAAAATATAGTCGGCACTCAGGGCCTGTCTTTAATACAATGAAAGAACATTCATTCGTGAAGGTAACATTTTAGCTGAGGCTTGAAGGGTTAATAAGTGAGGAGGAGGAAATGTAATCCAGGTAGTGAAGTGAGAGCAGCAAGATATGAACACATGGTGTGTTTGGGTAACCACACAGTCCATTTTGGCCGTGAGTGTGAGGTGCAAGGCAGAGGGGTGGGGTTGGGTTGGTACTGAAGGGTTAGCAGGGCCAACTCTCAGGGTGTCACAGTCTGCCTCATTTACCCCACTCTCCCATGACATCACCCCACCCTTGCTCACCAACTCTGAGCTCCTTGATCTGTGTAGTTAGCCAGTGCTGAGCACAGCAGAAATACAGGAGAAATGACTGAATGAAGGAGAGGGGAATCACTGCCTGTCCGGGGCTTCTCTCCGGGCCAGTTTGTGCGGTTCCAGAGCAGCAGCATCTTCTCTCCTGAGGAAGTGGGTCTTGTTCTGCAAGGCGCAGCTTTGGCTGACCTCTCGACCCTCTCGAACATCGCACTCAAGGCTCTGCGAGGCTTCCTCCTGCAGGTGTGTGGGAAGGGGATGCATGTAGCCACTGTGACGCTAGGCTCTCCACACCATCTTCTGGGTGGAGGGTGGGAGCTCTGGTCACAGCAGGCAGTGGGGGTCTGGAGTACAGGGGGTGGAGGGTAGAGAGGGCCTGTGTGGTGTAGGCTCTGAGAAGGGCTGTTTTCCCTGCCTTTTCCTTCCCTTAGGTTCAGAGCATGGGCCTCTTGACTGATCATAACATGGCCCAGACCCTGCAGGCCTCCTTGGAGGGCCTTTCCTCCAGGGCCTCCTCAGCCCAGCCTCCCCTGCAAGACATGCTGTATCCTTTCTTGTATCTGGAAGCTTTGGCCTGTGCAAGGTCACTCAGGCTATGGGATGGTGTGGCATCATGCTTCAGGACAGAGAGGTGCACTGCCTTACAGCCCTGTCCTCTCAAGCAGGCAGCGGTCAGTGAAAATAATTAATAGTGATAGCAACGACAATGACTTGTTATTTATTAAGATAGGGCAGTCACATTACCTGCACTGTACTAATCCTCACAGCATCTAGGAATGTTAATGTTGTTAACTCAGACCAAAGAGGTTAAATGACTTGCCCAGGATCATATCCAGATTTGATCCCCGATTTGCCTGTTTCCAAAGCCACATCACCAAACTCGGGGAGGAGCTAGTCCTTCCCCAGGGGTGTTGGAGAAAATCACCAGCCCAGTCGGCACAGGTGCTTCCCTCAGCCCAACATGGATGACTGCTTGTCTCTGAGAAAGCCTGGGGTTGTGGGCAGTGGGCAGAGGCCCTCTGGGGTGGCTGTGGTGCTCCAGAGACACTTTTGGTCAGGAGGTGTGTCTGTGTATGGAGGTGCTTCCTCCAGCTCTTACTGGCTCCCTTTCTGCCCCCCCCCCTTTCCCTTTCCCATGGAATAGTTCCCTGTTGTATACAACTACCTAACCCAGGTGTTCAGGTTCCAATTTTAGAATCTGGTCCCACTCTTCTTAGGAGAGAGAACCTCTGTTCGTCTGACCACTTTTACCCTTTTGGGGCTCTGGAAGTGCGGGTCTCCCACGGTTGGCCCTGCCTCTCTGCTGTTCTCCTCTCATGTTTTGCTGCCAGCTGCCTGGGAGGTGTGGCTGTATCCCTGTCCCACATCAGAGACTGACCCTCAACAATTGAAGGCCCAGAAATGGAGAGGACTGAGACCTGGAGAAGACAGTCGGGCACAGTGGTTTGGAGAAATGAATGACAACTGCAGCCACTAATCTGGAGCCTTTTACTCCATTGTTGAATCCAGAAATAAAATGATTCACTCACATGCCTGGTGAGCACTCCAAAAATATTTTACTCTCAACCTATCTTGGCCTCTTCCAGCTGGTTCCTCAGCCAGAATGGGTGGCCTCCTCAGGGAAAGGGGGTAGGATTAGTCCTCCTAACAACCCTACCCCGTTTAGGAGCACCAGTGCTAGCTGGTTGCCTCAGTTGTACCCAGAAAACACTAGCCAGGCCATCCATCCTCAGGGCTGCAGGAGCAGAGAAAGGCCATATATTCCCTGCTGCTGTTATCCAAGTGCTCTGAGAGGTACTTTACTGCCGCCTCACCTCCCGTGAAGGTGGAGAGAGGTGTCATTTCCAGGCAAGGAAGCTGAGCAGGTGGAATCCTCAGCCTTCCTAGCGAGCGGAACTGTCACAGCTCGGCCCCCTCCTGGTTAAAGTAGGTCCCTGTGTTCCTTTCTTTAACGTGGAGCTTGTACTTGTATACCCTGTCCACAACCAAGGTACATGCCCTTGACCGGAATCAAACCTGGGACCCTTGAGTCCGCAGGCTAGTCACTGAGCCAAACCGGCTAGGGCGTGTGGTTCTTCTAATATCTGCGCTCCACAGCTGCCTCTCCCGTTCCCAGTTCAACCCACTGGGCTTCTAGCTCCTTGCCCGCCCACCTGCCTGCCCGTGAGGATCCCGTGCCCGGGACTGGCCAGCCCGCCCTTCCTTCTCGGGACCTGACCCCGCACAAAAGTGGTCTGAACTCTGCCCTAATGAATCGACGGGGAAGTTCCCGATGAGCTGGGTTTAGAACTTGGTGCATCAAAGGGGCGGGCAGGGATGTGCCAACTCCGCACGGCTGGTTACTTAAACACACACGTGCTAGTCGTGACCCACTAAACTGATCTTGCCAGAACAGTCCGCTGACGAAACACTTTCGGGGAGGGCGCCCGGGCGGACGGGGCCCCAGTGTGCTGACGCGCCCACTACGTTGGGCGCCGACTTGATTTCCTCCAACCTCATCTTTACCGAGCACCACGCGCCGGAGCCCGACCCAGGGTGGAAGGAACGATTCTCCTGCGAATCTCACGTGCGACCAGTCCCAGGGCCCGGCGGGGCGGAGCCGGAAGTGAGGTCACGGCGCG